TCCTCGAGTTGCTACTGATCTAGCCTCTTTAGACGAGGGGTTCCGAACGTAGCATTATTTCGAAATGTTTCCGAGGCTCATTTCTCCCCTATGATCACTTGCTCAGGCGTATAATCTCCCCTATGTCAGCTTCATTATCTCCCTAAACGTCATTATTTCCCCCTTTCAACGCCTTCAGCTAATCCCTAAAACAGAGACTTGTAATTGTTTTAAACTCTCATTTATTCTACGTATGAATTTAGGTAATATTTTCTCTAAATTTGAAGATCATGAACTATATAGTATTCGAGAACTATCTCCTATTTGAACGATTATGAAAAAGCTAAAAATACCATTTTTTGTAGTATATTTCTTATAAACATGATTTTGAAAGATATGAATTAATAGACAAAATTATTCCAAGTATTCCCGCCCCTCATAATAAATAAATAGGCAGCTCAATTATTCCATATATTTTCATAATAGATAAAACAAATAAACAAAAATAAATAGATTTTAAGACAGTTCCTTCCCCCCCCAACTTCATCTTCGCCCTTGCCAAAGTTCATTCTCCCATTCTCCCGACAATATTTCCCCCCAACTCCATCTTCGCCCCCTAGCCAAAGTTCCCCCCCTCCCCCATCCTCCCCATTTTTCCCCCAACTTACCGAAGATTCTCCCGATTCTCCCCCACGTAGAGCGCGCGTCGAGGTACTGCGGCCAAGACGGGGAGTGGGAACCCGACGCGGCAGACTACTTGGCCTGCGCCACGGATGACATTTTCGCCAAGGTAATTTAGTCGTTGCTTTTAGGCTTTTGTTTCCCTTTTATTATTTATTTTATTATTTAGTTATTTATTTAATTATTTAATTATTGTGATTTATTTATTTATTTATTTAATTATTTCTTTTTTTTATTAGTTATTTATTTATTATTTGTTTTATTTTGTTTGATTAGTTTCTTTTCTTTTCCTTGATTTATTGTTGTTTTTATTCTAGGCTTTATTGATTAGTTTTATTTCCATTTTATTAGTTTCTTTTCTTTTCCTTGATTTATTGTTGTTTTTATTCTAGTCTTTATTGATTAGTTTTATTTCCATTTTATTAGTTTCTTTTCTTTTCCTTGATTTATTGTTGTTTTTATTCTAGTCTTTATTGATTAGTTTTATTTCCTTTTTTCTAGCTTGTCTTTCCCTTGTTCATTGGTTTTATTATTATTCTGTTTTGTTTTCTTGATTTTTTTCTCGTGTCCTTTATTTGTTGCTTTTATTTCCCTCTTTTTAATTTTTGTCTACCCTTCTTTTTTCCTCTTTATTCATTGTTTTTACCCCTATTTTAGTTTTGTCTTTGTCTTTATTCTTTGGTTTTATTTTTATTTTCTATTTTTGTCTTCCCCTTGATTTTTTTTATCCTTTCCTTTCTTCATTGTTTTTATTTTCCTTGTTTTTAGTTTTGTCTTTATTCATTGGTTATATTTTATTCTTATCTTCCCCTCGTTCATTTTTTCCCTTTCTCTTTATTCATTTTTATTTTATTATTCTTTTCTTCTTTTTCTATATTCATGGGTTTTATCCCCCCCCCTCTTTTTGTATTTTTCCACTTCCTCCCTCTTTCTCTGTTTTTTTTTTTTTTTTTTTTTTTTTTTTTCGTCTTTTTCGATTTGTGTTTTGGTGTCTCTCTTGTGGTGTTTCCTTATCGTTTCCATTTTTCTTTTGTTGTAATTTCATAAAGTTATTGTTATGATTCATCAGCTTCTTTATAGATATCACCATCAGTCACTATCATGGCATTACCCTCCTTCGTCACCATTCCCTCCTTCCCTCCCTTCACCCTTCCCTCTTCTCCATCCCTCCACCACATCTCCATCACCTCACCATCCCTCCATCACATCGCCTTCACCTCTACCACATCTCCATCACTTCACCATCACGTTATCATCTCTCCTCCATGAAGTCACCATCACCTCACCATCCCTCCATCCCCAACACCATAACATCACCATCCTTTCACTATTCCCTCCTACTTACCCCACCAACAAAACATCACCATCAGTTAATCTCTCCATCCCCAACACCACATCACCATCAACTCACCATCCCAACACCACATCACCATCAACTCACCATCCCAACACCGCATCCCAACTCACCATCCCCAACACCACATCACCATCAACTATTCACCATCACTCACCATCCCCACACCACATCACCATCAAGTCAACATCCCCAACACCACATCACCATCAACTCACCATCCCCAACACCACATCACCATCCACATCACCATCCCCAACAACCACATCATCAATCAACTCACCATCCCAACACACATCATCATCAACTCATCCAACACCACATCCAATCAACTCACCATCACCAATCACCATCCCTCCAACCCTCCCTTCACAAATCCATCTACTCACCATTGCTATCACACTCAGCTCACCATCCCTCTCCACCCCCCCCCCCCTCCATGACAACAACCCTCCAACACCATCAAACCACCGCTTTCCTCAGTCT